TCATATTTTATTGTTGAAAAACTAACACACAGTATTTCCAAAAATTAAAACAAGACAATTGATCAACTTTTGAAAGTTTGTTGAATTTGACCTTCACGAAAATTATGTTTTAGATCACAGAAGAATAAAATGCAATCCAATGAATGAATCATAATTATTTATAGTTACAAAAAATTTCAACAATGACAAGATCAATTATTATATCAATGTAAACAATACAATAACCAAGGAATTAACACAAAATTGGAGAATCAATATCTCAGGTGCACAAATAAAAGTCTGCAGTAGCACAAGAGTGATCAAATTCACCAGGATTCTGTGAGAATCAAAGTTCTCAGGTTAAGGCTCAATTTGAAACACCCAATCAAATGATCACAAACAAGTATAATGTGATATCATGCACTGATGTAAGCAGCTATAATATCCAGCAGTTGAAACATATCAAGATAGAGGCATAAACATGTATATCCTGTGTTATGTGTGTGCGCGATCGTATAGGGTCAAGAAAATGCAACCCGAAGGGTGGTTGAATGATAAACCACCAAGAACAATCAATAATCTGTTATTCCAGCAAGGATGAATGTTCTCCAGGTCGCCAACAGCAGATTGAACTCACAAAAGTTCGCGTTCAGAGTTCTGATTTTAGATCGAACCCACAGGATCTCAAGTTTTAGGGTTCTTTTCCAGATTGAGGCCAAAAGTCACAAGACTTTCTCAATTTCCCACGGTCCAAGTACCGATCGGCTCAGTAAACCCCCAAATCAACACAGATCAAGACCTAGGGCTTCGCAATCTGAAGTCGAACGCCTGAAAATTAATTTTCCAGTGTTCAGACTCCGATCGAAGACTCAAGAACAAATTATCAATGCTCTGATACCACTATTAATTCGGGATCCAAACTGTACAACAAATGTGATAGAGATCTTTACGGAAAAATCTAAAACCACTGCATCTAATTTCGATATTTCATAGGCTCAAATCATAAACCTCTAAGGAACATCATAGAGGCACTGAACTTAACCATAGACCCTCACAATCCCAACATCAAAGTCGCTACAATGGAACACGAAAATGGACAGATCACTTCACAATAGTTTACTCACATAGAGAGTTCTCAGATCAAGAGCTTGATTATCACAAAGATAATCATTAGATAATCTCACAAAGAGAAGATGAAAAATCACAGAGACAAAAAGCCCTTGCAGGTTCGAGAAAGAGGCGACTCGCAGAAAGAAAAAGAAAAATGACGATTCAATCTCTAGGTCAAAGAAAGAGGTCTTATTTATAGTTAAAACCATCAGCCATTGATCATTGGGTTAATCCAACAGCCCCGAAGCGACTAAAAGTGGACTAAA